CTGGAACGGCTGGCGGCTCTGCTCCAAGGACGCCGCCCCCTCCGCGCCTCGCCGCCACGGCCCCTCGTCAGCCCCGCGTCGCTTCAGCGCTCGAGTCGCCGGTAGGACGCCACCCTCCACGCCTCGCGCCGCAACTCCTTCGCCTCGGCGGCGCACGGCGCTGGCTCGCCCCGGCCCACCGACACGCCCACCGGCGCCGCCGCCGCCGCGCCGCCGCCGGGAGAGGGCGCGGGCTCTGTGGGCGACGACGCGCTCGGCCGGCGCGAGCCGGTGGAGGGCCTCGAGGAGCCTTCTCGGAGCCTTCTAGGAAGCTTCTAGGAGCCTTCTAGGCGCGAGTCGGTGGACAGCCTGTGTGGCGAGGGCGCGGTGCTGCCGGGCAGAGGCGACCTGACCACCGTCACTTCGGAGGGGTACGGCGAGGCGACGCTCGGCACGTGCGAACGGCTGGTCCGGCTGCTGATGCGGCTGACAGAGTGCGTGCCCGCGATGGAGGGGTGGGGGGGCGGCTGGAACCTCGACGCCGACGCGACGCTGCTCGACATTGGCTCCGGCTACGGCAAGGTCGTCGTGCACGCCAAGCTCCTCTCGCGCTGCCGCGCGGCGCACGGGCTCGAGTGCGTGCGCAGCCGCGTCGAGATCTCGAACCTGACTCTGCAGGCGAGCTTCACCCCGAGATCGCCCGAGATCGGCCGAGATCGGCCGAGATCGGCCGAGAGTGCCCATGCTGAGATGCCGACCCTGACTCTGCAGGGGCTGTACGGCGAGCTTGACCGCAAGGCACTCGACGACGCCCTGCCGCGAGAAGACAGACCTCCCGCCCGGCCGACCAACACAGCCAGCTGTCGACAGGCACTCGACGACGACCTGCTGCGCGGCGTCTCCTTCTGCTGCGCGGACGCGACGCGCGAGGCCGTGCTGCGCTACACGCACAGCCCACGCCCGCCGCGCCGCCTCGCCGCGTGCTCTGCGCCGCGCCACAGCCCCCCCGCCCTGCACAGGCACATCTATGCCTTCGACCGCGTCTTCTCGCAGTACACGCTCGCCGCGCTCGCGCGGCTGCTGCAGCGCTCGCACTTCTTCGTGTTTGTCTCGTCGAAGGCACCTCGGCCACCTCTCGGCCACCTCTCGGCCACCTCTCGGCCACCTCTCGGCCACCTCTCGGCCACCTCTCGGCCACCTCTCGGCCACATCTAAGAGTTCCGACGGCCGTGTCCGCTTGTCCTCCCAGGGGCCCCGGACCTGGTGGCGGCACGGCCTCTCCAAGGTGCAGCCGGTCGCCAAGATGCGCTTCGTCACGACGGGCCGCGAGCGGTGCACAGTCTTCATCTACGTGAACGCGCAGTTCGTCCCGGGCGTGTGATCACGCGGGGCCGCATGCGGGGCGGGGGACGGAGGCCCACGAAAGGGGGGGGGGGGGGGTCGCGATGAGGCGGGCGGAGCACGGGCACACCACCGCCGCTACCGCAGCGCTGCACTGTCCACTGGGCGTATCCATGAGCACGGGCGCCGGCGGCTGGGGCACGGCCGCCGCTGCCAAAAGGCTGCGGGAGGGCATGAAAGGAGGGCGCGCAAGCGCGCGCCCGGACAGCTGACTCACACAGAGACACTCACGCACCATGCCAGGGAGTGAGCGCATTTGTTCGTTCGTTGCGTTATCTATTTGCCACGAGAGAGAGAGAGAGAGAGACCGATGTATTCTGTGTATTGCAGTGGTCCCATGAGAGTGAGAGTGTTAAACACAGTTGTATGTCATATGCACGAGAGAGCACACCTCTGGGGGGGCGCGGGGGCCCCCGGAGGCACCGTGCGCCGCGCCGCAGTGCGGAAACGGGGCCCCCCGGCTCCACTAGTCTCCACTAGCACCGACTTCCCGATCTAAGGTCTAACAGAGGGCAGATTTGGAGAGATCTCGAGGAGTACATACAGATAGACCCTCCAACCATCAGGAAACTCCGACCTGATCGGTCGTACTGACCGCCGACAGATCACTCCAGACAGCAGACAGGCCGACGTCTGCACGCGGCTGGCCGGGCGAGAGGCTTGACACGATCCGACCCTGCGACCCTGACGCTGCTGCTCTAGCTATCAGACATGCACTGCTGGCTGCTGCCACAATGTGCGACCTGTGCTGGCCCACTTGGCGGCCTTCCCGTTCAGTGGTGAGGCGCAGTTCAGAGCTGTCGATGGCGCGATGCCGCACTGGTCCCACATTGGTGACACGAGACCGCCAAGTTTGCCGGTCCAAGAGAGAAGCACCGGCGCTGTCCTGAGAAGGTGCGTGGTCCCTCATGACTGCCCATGCGCGCGAGGCTGTGTAGGCATAGCCTCGAGAGTGCCAGCAGCCAATCCGAGGCGACGTGCATTGCGCCAAGCGTGCACACGATGGAAGGACACCTTCCTAAACTGGCCGTACGATCAGGTCGTCACTGAATGCTTGATACTAAGGCCGCGAGCTATGCAGGTGATCAATTGTGCAGCATGGCACGGTCAGCAGCGCCGAAAGGATGTCGTCGCAAGGCGTGATAGCATGGCCGCAAGTACGCCGAATTCCCATGAAAACAAGTAAAAAATCGCAAAAAAAACCGAAAAAATCGGCGCCTGCGGCGGGCCTGGGACCCCATCGCCCCCCCGCATGGACACCCTCTGGGGCCCCCGGGCCGGCCCAGAGGAGCACACGCGAAAAGCGTCGGATGTGCATATCGTGTGGCACATATGCACATTCTCTTCGCACGCACACGGACACGGATCACGGTCACGGAGCCACACACGGACCGACACACCGGGACATATACGTTATACACGCTTTACAAAACGGCGGATGTAACACTAACAATCAAGCGGGGGCGGGGGCGCAGGAGAGTCGATCACGCAGCCAAGCCGCCCGGCGCTGATAGCGCCATGGGCGAAGCTGGCACCGGCGGCGCCGCCGCACCCAGCGACGCACCATGTACAATGTAATCCGATTCTTCCGGCGGCGGCTCCTCCGCAGCGAGAAATAGTCCGCGCGCCACCTCGCGCTGCGCCGCGAGCTCTGATCCGGCTGGGGCGTCGAGCGCGCCCGCCAGCGCGAGGAAGCCTGCAACGAGGCTGGTCTGCAGCGCGTGCGCCTCGGCGGGCGGCCGCGCGCCCGCCATGCAGAAGAAGCGGAGCGGGCTGTGGTTGATGCACGGGAAGTCGGATATCTCCTGGTGGCGCGTGTCCCGAACTTCGGCGTACAGGGCCGTGGCGCTGCTCTGCGCGAGCCGGCGCATCACGCCTCCGACCTTCCTCTCGTTGCCGGGATACATCATCGACGGGGTTAGAAGGGCGAGGGTGGGCACGGGCGCGACGCCGTCCGCCGTCTCGTCGTACCCGCTGATCCACGGGTCGCAAGCCACGACGGCGCGCACCAAGCCCGCCGAGACCCGGGGGCGCCCGCTCGCGATGTCTGCCGCAGTGCGCAGCACGCTGCTCCCTCCGAAGGAGTGGCCGATGAGGCTGAGCCTGCTCTTGTCCACCGCGACACCGGCAGGAAGCTGGCGCGCGATCTCGTCAATCGAGTCTATCACGGCTCGCGCCTCCGCGACGCGCCGCCGCTGCTGCCGCGCCCGCGCGTCGTCGCCGTCCACGCTGCCGTACACGCGCGCCTCGCCATCTGACGTCTATTCCTCGGACGACCGCGGTGAGGTGTGTGGATAGATGCGTCTAGATGCCGATCCGCGGTGAAGTCTACTCCTCGGTATAGACCGCCGAACCGTCGCCGTGCTCGAGCGCAATCACCTGCAGCAACGGGGGGGGGGGGGTATGTCGAGCATGTGCATACCTGCCGCGCGGTGTCTTTTTGCTCGTCGGGTCGTGGTGGGACATGATGTCCCCGGAATTACGCAAATGCTGGCTAGTGGCAGGGCCGGCACAGATCGCGGCGCACCACAGCGCCGTGCGACGCCAGCTCCGCGCAGAGGCCCGAGTACGAGGCGGAGCAACCCCAGAGCCCGTGCGAGAAGACGGCCAGCGGCCAGCCGGCGGCGGCCGCCGCCTCTGCTGGGGCGGCGGGGGGGGCCAAACGCGAAACACGGCGCGGCAGCCTGGAGCAAAAATCAGGTTGGACCTCGCTCGGCTCTTATGACTCGGCTCTTGTGACTTGTGTCCCCGCCGGCAAAAATCATGGGCCACTAGTGGGCGGGCACCTCGCAAGACGCAAGAACGAGGTGAGGAAAGGCGCGAGGAAGCGGGTCGCCCAGCGCGGCAAGGGCAACGCAAAGCCGTGTTGTGTGGCGTAGCGGCCGCGGGCGGGGCCGTCTGGCAGCCAGCTTGCCCGTGGCCGCTCACGTTCGGCCTTGCTCGGGTAGAAGACGCGCAGCCGTGCGAGCGGAGCCGGACCGGGCAGCGAGAGGAGCCGCTGTTCCACGTCGGCGATTCCGACGTCGTGTCGTCCCCGCGGAGTGGGGGTGGCCCGGAGTAGTGCGAGCGAGAGGAGAGGCATCACCGGAAGTGCCACGAGGGTACACGGCAGGAGCGCCGCCAGCAGCGCGATCCCAAGAGCTGGCCGTTGCATCGAGGCGTAGAGCAATCGCTCCCAGCGGAGCCACTGGCGGCTGTCCCATGAGATGCGACTTGCAAACTCGCGGCTGTCCCACGAGGCGCGAGCGGCCACTGTGGCGACCATGAGCTCACCCGATGCGATTTGCACGGCGGCCCGCAACGAAACTTCGCGGGAAACGGGGGGTGGCTGAAAGAATGCACAAAAATAAAATAAAAAACCTTCGCTTCTGCCCTAGCGGCGGAACGCCTCCAGGTCATGCAAAACGGGCCCTGAGTGTGACAAAAAGGTGTACATCGGTAGACGGTACACTGACGTCCGTTAGACGGAAGACGCGCCTGAGCCTGTTTCAACCGTGCCAGGGGCTGTATCTAAACAACAACACTAGCTAGGGAGTCAACACACATGGTGCTCACAAGCTGGCGAGTGGACAAGGCCTCCGCCCTTGTCCACTCGCCAGCGAGCCGTCGACGTACCTGCGCCCAGAGGATTGCGCTAAAGCCCACCCGACGCCGCAGCATGGAGGACATGGACCCGCCCGACCCGTCTGTCCAAGTGGTACGAAGTTTGCTCGCTTGCGCGGGCTGCTTTGTGCCAAGCAGCGCTTTTGCCACCAGCACCGCTGACTGGCAGCCCGAGCCCCAGCCTGCGGGCCAGGGCTCGGCTGGCGCGACTGCGCCACCCGGTCCACGCTCCGGCGCCACTGCGCCGGCCACGGTCGCCGGCACGGCCGACGACGGACCAACTGCTCTTTCCATTGTGCCAAGCAGCGACGCTGCTTTCCATGATGGAACAGGCAGATCTGCCGCTGCGCCGCGCGCCCGAGGCGCGCGGCGGAGCATGCACCCTCGCAACCCACCTGGCTGCTTGGGTGTGACGCCTCCCTCCAGGCCCGCCCGCCACGGCCCGCCCGCCATGGCCCCGTCCGGAGTGCCCTTTCCGAGAAAGTTCCTCACGGTGCTGCTCCTGCTGCACCCGCTCGCCTCCGCCGCCCTCCCAACTGCGCCACCGCCAGCCCACCCTATCCTCCCCCCTCCCTCCAACGACTTGGCACCGCCTGCTGGCGCCTGCCTCCAGCAGCTCTCGGCTGCGAGCGGCGTGGCCACCGCCTCTGCTGCTCTCAAGCTCGCCTCTTGCAGGCCTCCAGGCAGGCCTCCCGGGGCGGCTCTCCCTGGCGCCCCTGCCACGACCGCCAACCCAGAGGATCTGTCCTCATCGCGCTTCTGCCCCTCTTGCCTACATGCACGCATCGACGTCGACCTTACCACCCCCGCCGACAGCGCTGTGCGAGACATCGCCAGTACGCTCACCAAAAGCAGCCGGAGGCCGCTGCATCGTCCGACTCTCACCTGGCCCCAGCCTGCCCTCGCTGCTGCGAGCGGCACCATGCGCCGCGCCCCCGCCGACCCCCGAGGTCACTACGACTGGAGCGCTGGCGAGCATGTGCAGAGGAAGCCGCCAACCGTGCCCTCGAGCAGTCCCTCGACAAACTCGCGTCTCAGCCCCGCCGGCCACAGCCGCGCCGCGAGCGGCCTGCTCGAGGGGACCCTGGCCACTGGGAGGGGATCATTGCCCACACGCTCTCGCATTTCCGCCAACGCCATCGCCCTGTCTCAGAGGCCACCGCCTCCGAGCTCCCCGCCGGCCCTTCTCTCGCGCGGCTGCCACCGCCACCGCGCGAGGCGAATGCCTCCCAGCTCCTACCGGCCGCAACCGGCCCGCCCTCCCGCCGCCGCCGCACCCAGATGCTGAAGCCTCTCGGGTGGCCCAGGAGGCCCGCACCGCCTCGCGCTCCCCTGCAGCGCCCCGACCCCTCCCTGACCGCCCCCGAAAGCGAAGCCCGCGCCCTGCGCGGCCACCCAACCGATTCTGACTCCGACCCCAGGGCCTAGGCGGCCCGCCATGAAATCTAGCCGTGTGTGCTGGCGTCCGGGACCCAGCGGGTTTTCACGTAACAAGTACACACAAGCCACCTCAGGGTCCACAGTGGCCATTCAAACGCGCTCCCCGGACCCCGGCGGGACACCGTCCCACGACCCGGTTTCGGGGTCTTGCCACTCCCAATCCGGCAGAAGGGAGCGAAGATCCACGCGAGTGAACGGCTTATCCAGCGCAGCAGCCAGCCTCTCCCTCAGGGCAGTGTAGGTCTCCTCTACCTCCTCCATCCCCGACCAATACCTCAGGGCGGAGGGGGCCCAGAGGAACCTAAAGTGCGACACGTCTGGCAGGGCGTCAAGCCAGTCGCTCTTGATCGTGCGGTCCTCCTCCCACGCGTCGCGGCTGAAGGCCGTCTCCGCCATCTGCACGGCCTGGTGGATCCTCTTCGCGCAGCGAGACGCCACCTCGAGGAGAATGATGAATGTGGGCGTCCTCGGCCGACATCGCGGCCTTGCGACAGTACTCGGGCGCCTCGACCTGCCGCCGAATCGAGATCTCCTTCTCCGACTTTCTGTCGTCCTCGGCGTCCTTGACCTTAAACTCGAGCTCGCGGATGCGACAAAACAAACGTGAACAGGGCTCCAGGCCCCAAATGACGTGTGAGTGTTCGAGTTGTTTGGTATTGCTAAAAATCTCTCTCTCTCGGATGCGGCGCCACCAAGTACTCGGTGGCGAGCGGGTCGCGAGGGGCGCGGCCGCCGCTCCCGCCGCTCTCCATCACCCGCCGCACAAAGGCCCGTTCTCTCCGCCCACACCGCCCTCGCCCGCCGCCTCGCCGCAGCCGCCGCCGCCGCCGCCGCCGCCCTCGCCGCCCACGCCGCCCACGCCGCCCGTGTCGCCCTCGCCCGCCGCCGCGGCAGTGGCAGTGCTTCAGCCGCTTTTACTTTAGTTCCCGCCTCTGCTACCGCACACCCGCCGCCGTCGCTAGCACGCCCCTCACTTCAGCATTTAGAAAAAATCGTCAGCGAGGTGTCGAGGCTGTAGAGCATCAAGCCACCCATGCTGACCAACCATCGTTTGTCGTTCGCGGTTGTACTCGCCGCCGCCGTTCCTCTGTACACGACAGCAGCAGAACTCGGCGACAGCATGGGCGGCGGCGGAGACGATATCGGCCAGAGCTTGATAGACGGCACTGATGTGGTGCGTGCGCACGTGCTGGACCTCAATCGGGCGCTACAGTCGGCGGGCAGTACTCTTCAGTTCGACGTCGAAGCCCTGACCTCCAAAGTTCTCGCCTCGAACCACCCAGCCGAGAACCCGACCACAATCCTCGTCGAGTCAACAGAGGCGGCGGAAACCGCTGCCACCGAGGCTGTGCAGGCGCTGTGCCAACCCCGCCCTCGGCCTCACCCGCCCTCTCACTCGGCCGGACTGCACTCCTCGACACCCGTCGCATCCTCCCCGTGACTGTCGCCTGCCTTCTTTGCCAAACGCATCCACAGCTCGAGTCGAGACGCGAACTATCTGCTGCCTGTTGCCCTCCCTCCCTCCCTCCGTGCGCAGGACGAGATCGGGATGGCCTTCCACATCGCGTACCGTCCTCTGCTCAAGGAGACGCTCATCGAACTAACCTCGAACCGGGCATTCCAGGACTTCATTGACTGGGAGATTGTCGAGCACAAGGAGCAATGCCACCCGCCTCCCACCTGTAGTGTGATCACGTCAAGCATGCGGCAGAGACACCGGCCCTGCTCTCTGTACACCTGCGCACACGCCCACCTCACACGCTCCTACTCATGACGCGTCACAGGACAACGCCATCAGCCAGATCAAGCACGACGTGATGCACACGTGGGCCGTGCCGCTCTCGCTTTTCGTCGCGGTTCTGCTTGCGCTGGTCCACCGGGCGGGTTACAATAGCGGCAAGGCGGTCAAGCGTCTCGACGCTGCTTGCCTTGAGGGAGGTTGTGAGCAGCGTCTCTGGATCGGGATCAGCTGTGAACAGGCGGACAAGATCTTCCAGACGCTGAGCGCCTTCCTGACGAAATCGAGGCTGGACGAAGTGTCGACGCGAGGCCGACTCGCTCTCCTCTTGATTAGTTCATTCATCAATCAATAGGCTGGAGGAGGTGTCGAGGCGAGGCCGACTTGCCCTTCTCGAGGTTGGGACGCACACGAGGCGACAGCCGTCCGGCATGCGCCTGCCGGGTTCGCCCGCAACGCGAGGGAGGGCCTACAGCTGCGCCCTGCCGGCAGACAGTCCGGGTCGGGCAGACCGCTCGCCCGGGCACGCTCGCCACTCGCACGCGCAGCAGGAGGATCGAGAGCAGGACGAGCCGAGCCTCGACGATTCACTGACGGCCTTCCGCGACTCGCTGGCCCCGTCAGCCCTTCCCGTCTTTGGCGCCATCTCGATCTTCCGGCCCTTTCGCGATGGCGCGCCGTGGCGGCCCCACGCTGCCGACTCGACGAAACGAGCGACGGATGAGATGGTGTGAGGGCGCGAGTTGGCGTGCGCAATTTCTTTTTACTCCCTCGCGGGAGTCGCTTTTGGCGGCTCCCGTAGTGTACCTGTGTTATTGCAATAGTGCCAGTGCGTGCCAGTCCCGTGCTCAGTCGTGTCGTGCGAGGGAGCTTAGTTGTAAAATTCTTTTTTATTTTTACCTATAGCTGGGGCCTGGGCGGGCGCTCCACCGTGGTGTAGCGTGTCGTACCTGTGCTAGTGGCTGTGCGCTCCATTTTGATGACTTACTACAGACTGAGACAGTGTAGTCTCCATATCCCCCAGGCACGCAACGTTCGTTCCCCCGAGGCGCCCTGCGCAGGGCGAGCCCGTTCGCACAAAACTACGGTCCGGCGAGTGGCGTCCGCGCCACAAGCGCATATACTTAGTACGAGTGCAGTCCTTCGAGCGTGGCTTCGTCCACCTTGCCCTCGCAGCAGATTTCGAGGAAGCGGCGGCGGACCACAGCGTACTGCTCGGCTCCGGCCGCAGCCGCACTGATCTCGCCGAGCACTTCGGGCCAGCGCGTACGCCGTGCCGCCGGCAGGGCGGTGCACTTGTCAAGGACGGAGCACGCGTATTCGCCCATGTATTGGACGCCGCCACCAGCCTCGGTCATGGCTGTCCCGGCGAACGTGCGGATGGTGTCGCCAACCGGCCCGTCAAAGGCTGCGCCTGCGAGAAGCACCATCTCGAAGATCGCACGCTTCGCCACGTCTTTACGGCTCTCGAGGTTGTCCCATTCCGCCGCCACTGCCGCCTTGAGCAGCGGCGAGTAGTGCACACCCGAGAGCATCGAGTGGACGCCTTGGGAGTGCTCGGGCGGGAGGATGTAGTCGATCGGAGGAGACGAGGAGAGGTAGTCGAGCACTCCTTGGAAGTTAAGGTCGCTCGCGTCGGGCGACCAGTGTGTGCTTCCCGGCGGCCCTCGCCCACAGAATGCGGCGTGGTAGCATGCCTCCACACAGCGGCGGCTGAGGTCGGTTGCCTCCTCCTCCTCCTCGTAGTCCGCCTCGTCGTCGTCGTCGTCGTCGGGCTCCTCGAACGCACGAAAGCAGTAGCACATCGAGGGCGGCAAACAAAAGACACCGGGCTCGAAGCGACCCTCGTCGTCGTACACCCGGTAGTCGCGCTGCGGCCAAGCGTCGATCACGTCGCGCACCCCACGGTTGATCGCGCCATAGCCTTCTTCGATGCCCCAGGAACCCGCAACCCACTTGAAGATCAGCCGTCCGGCGGGTGTCACAGCTGGCGCCTTGCCACTGCCAAGCGTGCGCCCCTGGTATACGAACACCTCTTCCTCCATCTCGTCGCCCATGTTGTCGTGGCGCCGATGCGTGAACAAGTCCCCCACGCTCGCAAAGAGCGCTGGGCAAGCTTCGGCAGCATCTTGGCGAACCTGGCGCAGCTCCTGCAACTCACGCCGTAGAGCGATGACCCCCTCCGCTTCGTGGTGATCGAGGACGGTGCGTAACGCCGCAGCCCCTGTCTCAGAGATCGTGGCCATCGCGCGCGCACGTCGAGGTCTGTGCTCGCCCCGGCCGGTAAGCGCGGGTTAGTGCTCACTAACCCGGCACGGGTCAGCAGGGGTCAGAATGGGTTAGTGTGTGTGTGTGTGTGTGTGTGTGTGTGTGTGTGTGTGTGACACTCACTCACACAGAATGGGTTACCATAACCCGGCACTAACCCGGCACTAACCCGTGCGGCTGGGGGGCATACGTCAGCATGGGTCTGCGCCAGGTTAGTTAGGGGTGGGTTAGGGCCGGGTTAAAGTGCAGCGCACCCCGGGTTAGAGCTGGTTGGCGAGATGAAACGGCTGCGGCGGGCACCCGAGCCGACCTCCGCGATGGAGCCTTGGCTGCAGAAGGCCGTGAATGCCAAGCTGCTCATTGAGAAGAACACCCGCGTGCGCAGGAGCAGGCGGGCGGACATCGCTTCAGGGGGGCGCCCTTCTGCTCACACCACATGCTAGGGGGGGGGTCCGACCCCCCCCAGAGGCTTCACCACATGCTAGGGGGGGGTCCCGCCCCCCCCAGCACCTTCACCACATGCTAGGGGGGGGGTCGTGGCCGAGGACCCCCCCAGAGACTCGTGGTCAGACCCTCCGGGCCCTTGATTTTACGCCTCATTTCGAGCATTTTCGAGGGGGAAATCATCCTTTGGAGCTATATGAGCCTTGAGACTGGTCAGATTCTCCAAGATATTGGACTTTCAGCCACGATTTCACAACTTTGGGGGCCAAAATCGGATCTCTGGTGGCTATTCCTAGGGGTCCCGTACCATGCGGAATCGACCCTATCAAGTGCTCAAGTGCTCAAGAGGATTGCAAGAATTTTACAACAAAACTCCGTCGCACAACACTGGGCACGGGACTGGCGCGCACTGCACTGATTGCAAGAAAACCCTGTCGGACGGGACATCCTGCGAATGCCGGTGTACCGGATCCCGCCCCTGACCGGGGTCGGCGAGGGCGGGGACGCGGGGACGCTCGCGGGCCTCTACGAATGGGCGGCGGAGTGCGAGGGGATTGCCACGCGGCCGCCGCCCGAGGACCTGGTCCCCCTCCCCCCATTCGCATGAAGTGGGGGGAGGCGAGGGGGATGCGATCCGACACCACGGCCTACATGATGGACCTTGCCCTGCAAAGGCACGCGAGGATCCGGTACACCGACGTGGCCTTCACCGACGGGAGTCTGCAGCCGGCAACAAGGGAGGAGCCTGCCCGAGTTGCGTTTGGGATATACGCGACAGGGACGGGCCTCCGTGGGGCGGATGTTCACGGGGGCGCGCTTCCGTCGGGTGCCACAGTGCAGGACGCGGAGACCACGGCGGTGTATGCGTACCTGGCCAGGACGGTGCGCCGCGCCCGCAGGCGGGATGCCAAGGTAAGGGCTCTTGTTCTGGTGGACTCCAGCAGTACCCTCGTCATGATAGAGGCGGCGAGAAGGGCGCGGTCATTGCGGGCTCTGCGAACAATGCACCGGCGGCAGCTGCTCGAGCGGATTGTTGAACTCTGCAACGACCGCGCCGTGGAGCGAGTAGAATTCATGTGGGTCCGAGCGCACCGGGGGGTGTACGGCAATCACTATGCGGACACCATCGCCAATGCGTACCTCGCCACGCAGCCGAGGGACCTGCAGCAGCTGGTGGAGGAATACAGCGGAGGGCTCCATGATCAGAGGGGAACGAGGGTGTTCTACCAGGTTCCCGAGCGCGGAGAGCGAGGCCGGGTGTGGCAGGCGTACCCGGGGGACCGCAACCCGCTGAGGATGAGCCGCTCCAGACTAGCGGCATGGTCGACACGCAGGCTGGCTGGCGAGACCTCGGGCAGCCCGTGCCACACAGGAGTGGGGAGCTTCCCAGTCATGGACTGGGACGCGATCTGCGAGGGCGCGCCGGGCAGCGTGTGGGCCGCGCTCGCAAGAGCGCCGGAGAGGTGGCGAGGATCCTCTGGCGGGGCCAGAAGGGCCACGGCCACCGGGGCGATCATGATGGTAGTCCGCGCTTTTTGTGTGTGAGGCGAGAGTCGGCCTTGGGTTTCTTGCCGTCGTCCCTGGGCGTCCCAGCCGTGTTCAGGGCCGGGTCCCCAAGGGTAAGGGCGAGAGAGAGAGAGAGAGAGAGAGAGAGAGAGCTCTCTCTCTCTCTCGGTAAGGGCGAGAGCGGGCTAAATTTCCTTTTTATCTCTCCCTGTTAGGTGACAAGTTGTGTTGTTTGCTCGCCAGCGCCGGCGCAGTATCACCGCTCGGCAGAGCCTTCTATCCACATGATCCTCCGCCTGGACGTCGTCGCTGCTTCACTCGTCGTGCAGCCGCGGTCCGATCCCGCGCGCGCGGGCGTTTTCGTCAAAAAGTTAGGTTCCTGCGTCAGAGTCTGAGAGCATGTGTGTGTGCACGGCCGCCACGGGGACACGTCTCCCACTTGGAGAAAGAGAAAAAAAGAAAACAAGCGAGAATAAACAAAACGGTGGCCTGTCCCCAGCGCCCCCGCCGCACCCGTCACGCCGCCGCCCGCCCGCCTCCTCGACCTCCCCACCGACCTCCTCGTGCGCGTCGTCTCTCGCTGCGATCCCGCCGACATCGCTCGCGTCGCGGCCGTCTCGCTGCTCTTCCACGCCTCACTCGCGGTCGAGGGCATCCGCTTGTGGGCGCAAGAGCGCGGCTACGAGCTGCCGGCGCAGCCAGAGGGCGAGGGCTGCACCGTGCGGTGGCTGTGCTTCGCGGCGCTGCTGCGCGAGTCCAACCCGCCGGTGAGGGTGGCGGGAGGCTGGCAGCACAGCGTCTTCATCGACGGCGAGGGGCGGCTCTCGTCGTGCGGCTCGGCGTTGGGTGGTTACTGCCCAGGGCTGCTCGGTCACGGCGAGGGCGTGACGCAGCTTAACACGCCGACCCGCCTCCCTTCGATGCTGGGTGGCGAGCGCGCCGTGAGCGTGTCGGCTGGAACCGCGCACAGCCTCGCTATCACCACCGACGGAGCTGTCTGGAGCTGGGGCTATGGAGCCCACGGCCAGTTGGGCCACGGCGACGGGCAGAACCAGCTGGAGCCGAAGAAGATCGAGGCCTTCGCTGGCCAGCACGTCGTCGCTGTGTCGGCTGGATACGAGCACAGTTTCGCCCTCGCCGCCGACGGCAGTGTCTGGAGCTGGGGCGATGGAGGGCGAGGCCGGCTGGGCCACGGCGACGGGCGGAACCAGCGGCAGCCCAAGAAGATCGAGGCCTTTGCTGACCAGCGCGTCGTCGCTGTGTCGGCGGGAGATCACCACAGCCTCGCCCTCACCGCCGACGGCAGCCTCTGGAGCTGGGGCCATGGAGCCCTTGGCCGGTTGGGCCACGGCGACGAGCAGCAGCAGCTGCTGCCGAAGAAGGTCGAGGCCTTTGCCGGCCAGCGCGTCGTCGCTGTCTCGGCAGGATCCCGCCACAGCCTCGCCCTCGCCGCTGACGGCGCCGTCTGGAGCTGGGGTTTGGGAGGCTTTGGCAAGCTGGGCCACGGCGACCAGCAGGAGCAGCTGCTGCCCAAGAAGGTCGAGGCTTTTGCCGGTCAGTGCGCCGTCGCTGTCTCGGCTGGAGATGGCCACAGCATCGCCATCACCGTCGATGGCGCCGTCTGGAGCTGGGGCTATGGAGGACACGGCCTGCTAGGCCACGGCGACGAGCAGCGCCAGCTGCTGCCCAAGAAGATCGATTCCTTGACTGGCCAGCGCGTGGCCGCTGTGTCGGCGGGAGTTGTGCACAGCATCGCCCTCACCGCCGACGGCGCCACCTTCGCCTGGGGCATGGGCGAAAGCGGCTGCGTAGGCCACGGGGAGGAGCTTTCCAACCAGCTGCTGCCCAAGAAGATCGAGACGTGGGCGCCGGGGCAGTGAGCAGTCGAGGGATTTCCACCGGATCTCGAACACGCTGGAGCGACACACCGGAGCGTACGGGTGTGGACCCTGAGTTGACCAGGGGTTGTGCGCTGGGCCCTCCTGCTCGGCTCCAGCCAGTAGACAAGTCTTGTCATCAACAGAGTAGATGGATCTGACCTCGGGGCCGATGTGACCAAGCGCTGGAAGCGTGGTTTTACCTCACACCCACGGTCTCACAGTGTGCCGGCAGTCGGCAGTCGCCGAGCAGTGTCGCTCACACAAGCCGCAGCACAAGTGACTGAGGGCCAGTGAGGGCGAGCCCATCGCTGTCACAGCTGTGGCAGCCGCACAGTAGGCTGTGTCAACTGTGCAGAGTGTGTGAGCAGCAGAGGAGCTGCTCTCCAGGCTTCAGGCGCAAAGAGCTGCATGCCACCGAAAGCGCTGTCGAGGTTCGCCGAGCGCGGCGAAATCCGGGGACGCCGTCACCGACGAGCGCGTTGGACTTTTCACTCCGGACAAAGACCGCTGCACAGCGGACGGTACGGGCCGTGCAGCGGTCATAGCGGCGAGGCGCGGGACCGTCTGTGGGGGCGAGGTGGGTCTCGCGTCCCCGGATTTCCTCAACTCACGGTCCGCTCCCTCTAGCGGAGACCGGAGTGTGGGCCCCGAGTTTGAAAAAGGGCGACAGACGCTTGCGTCCTAGCCTCCAACAACGCCTCCCCGGCGCAGAGGGGCCCCCGGAGGGGGATGCACAACCGCTCCACCCCACGCCGCAAGCGGCGGTCCTATCTATTCCCAGCTCCGCCCATGAGACCCGGCCACTCAGAAGTCGTCCACCAAATCGTCTTCGCCGAGCGCGACGACTCCCGCGCCGTCCGTGTCGAGGCGTGAGCCCTTTTGTCCCGCGAGGAGCGACGCCGCGTCGCCGGCCGCCACCAGGTTGCTCTTGTCTAGCCGCACGACCTCCCCCTCCTCGTAGGCGGGCGTGCCCCGGTGCGGGCACGTGGCGCACCGAAAGGCGTCCCCCTTGCCGCAGTTACCACACGCCGACTTCGGAGCGCCGCTCTGGACCGGCGCGCCTGCACAAAGACCGAGGGGGGGGGGGGGGGGTCACCTCCGTTTGGCCCATCTTCTGCTTGTGAGGAGTTTCTCTCTACGCAATCAGTGCTTCTTGAGTCGGCGCGCCGTCGATGCTCTCCAGCTCCTCGCGCAAGCCGCACGAGCAGTTCTTGCACGCGCGACGCTTGACCGCCTACACCGCGCTCGAAGTGTCCCGCCATGAGTGGGGGGAGGGAAAGGGAAAGGGAAAGGGATAGGGAAAGGGAGAGGGAGAGGGAGAGGGAGAGGGAGAGGGAGAGGGAGAGAGAGAGGGAGAAAACAGAGGGCCAGTGAGAGAGAGAGACAGACAGAGACAACAGAGGGCCAGCGCCGAGCCGCACCGCTCCGGGTCGCAAGCCGGCTGCGCCACGACAGGCAGGCAGAGTTGATCAGTGCACAGCGCGTGGCGCTCTCGGAGAGGAGGAGAGAATACAGCGGAATACGGCCGTGTGTGTGTGAGCACCGCGTCCGGGTCGCAAGCCGGCTGCGCCACGACCTTGGCCGCGAGGTCCTCCTCGTCGAGCAGTGCGTCCTCGTCCACACACGCGACGCGAATGACTGAGTGAGTGAGTGAGTGAGAGAGTGAGTGAGTGAGAGAGTGAGTGAGTGAGTGAGTGAATTGCCTCGTGCACACGCCATGAACAATTCATTCATTCATTCATTCATTCATGAATGAATGGCACTAAGGAAGGAGTGGTAAACTATCAGGTGAGGTGCGCCTCGTCAACGTACGCACCCGCGTCGCCCGCCGCCGCCGACGCCGCCGCCGCCGACCACGCCTTGAGCGCAGAGTCGTCCGGGCCGCTCGCCGCCGGCGGGCCGGCGGCGGGCGGCGCCGGCGCGGCGGGCGGCGGGGTGGCCGAAGGCGGGGCCGCGGGCGGGGCGGTCTTCGGGAGGGCGCCACGCGAGCGCAGCGAGAAGGAGACGCCGGGCGAGTAGGCGGGGCGCTGCGCCACCACGACGCCGAGCGCGAGGTGAGGCGCGAGCGCCGCCGCGAGGGCTGTGAGCGCGTCGTGAGCCTCGGCCGCGCCGGCCGCAGCCTGGGAGGCGAGCGCAGGGTACGCGGCCTCCGCCGCCGCGCGCAGCTCGGGCGCGGCGAGTGGCCGCACACTCGTCCCGCTCGGCGAGAGGCCGGCGTAGACGACGGCGCGCCGCAGCGACTCTGCCGTCCGGATGTCACCGACCCGCGCCGCGCGGAGCGATTGCAGCGCCGGCGCGACAGCGGCGGGCGGTCGCCCCTCCGCGCTCGGCCACGCCCAGACGACCTCGCGCACCTCGACGCTCCCACCCGCCTTTGCGCGCTTTGCCGCCTCGCCAAGCTTTGCCACGTCGGTGAGCGCACCGCTCGCTGACATTACGGTGACCACGTCGTACAGGCCCTCGGGTAGGCGGGCGACCGGGTTGTCGGGGTGCGCGCCATCCACTGAGGCGCCGCCCTGAGGGCGCGGCAGCCCGTAGCAGGCGACGAGGGATTTTGACATCGTGAAAAAGGAGAATTCTTGGCACCAAAGGAAACAAACAGAACCCGTTTTGCTGTTCACAGCTAGGGACGGCCTCTGCGGCAAAGTCAAGCCACCCCACCACCACCTACCTACCTACCACCTACCTACCGCAGCAAACCTTCGGCTCCCGCTCAGAGGCTCGCCGCGCCCGTGCGCCGCGCCGAGGCGGCGCCGAGGCCGGCGCCTTGCACCCGGCCCGCGGCCGGCACCGCCTCGCCCCACAACTGACCGCCCTGCGGCCCCTGCGCAGGCGTACCACAGGCGTCGCTCAAAGAGCGACGCCGGGTGTGGGCTGATCCCTTGACCCGTCACCCGCCGCGCCCTCGCCCGGCCGCCTCACCGCTCACGGAGCGCTCGGCTGCTCGCCGCCGCCGCCGCGCGTCCCGCGCCGCCACGCATGCCCCTTGCCCTGACGCGCGCGCTCTGCGGCAGAGCGCGCGTCTGTCACACAGACGGAGCAGCGACCGCGCCAGCGGTCGCTGCTCCGCCCCTCCGTCGCGCGCGCCGCGCGCGCGCTGCCGCCGCCGCCGCCGCCGCCGCCCCCTCCTCGCCGTCTTCCACCCCTACACCCTCTGTTGCGCGCGCCGCGCCGCGCGCTGCGCGCCCCCGAGAGTGGTGTGAAAAACCTCGAAGCCCTGGGAGCCCTCCCCCTACTCGGTAAAGAAAACGCACTGGGGACGACGTAAAAACTACTCAACAATAACGTAGGTAGGTTCCTAGGATCCTAGAATGTGACTGTACTTGCTACTCCTAATATTGCCGCGAGAGTTGGTTCTCCCCACCTCACTCAGCACTCCGCGGCGGCGCTTAGGCAACGCGGAGCTGCATCCACATCAGCACGGGGGCGCGGCAGATGGGGCACGACTCCATCCTGGCGGAGCAGGGGCCGCACGCGCACTGGTGGCCGCAGGGAGCCGCGACGTGCGATTTCGGGTTGGTGAAGCACACAGAGCACGTGGTCTCACCGCCGAGGGTCGACCCGGGGACGGTCGGTCTGCCGGTGTCGAAGTTGGCGTTCGCCAGCTGAGAAACCCCGGATCCTGCTGAACAAGCTCCTCTTGTAGCTCGATCGGTCACACCGCCATCGCCGTCGGGGAGAGGGGGGACGACACTGCTTTGGCAGCGTGCACCTACCTCGATCCTGTACCGTGTTTGTTATGACCCCACCCAATGAACACACCAGTGAGGGAGGGCGAGACGATCGAGGGGTCCCGTACCATGCGGAATCGACCCTATCAAGTGCTCAAGTGCTCAAGCTGAGATGAGTGCCGTGAGGCGCGGGGATGACGGTAAAGTGCCCGCCAGGATTTACCTAGTTTGTGGGTTTCGCGACGGCATCAATGGCCGATCCGCGGGGCTACAACATCAAGTATGGCTCGGGTGGCTCCGCCTCACCGCCCCCCACCCCCTTGCCCGCCGCTTCCCCTCATCCTCATTGCCAGCCCACGTCCGGCTGCTGGCTGCTGCCACCTCCGCCGCACCCCTCCTCCGCGTCAGGCACCTCTCACCGCGGCATGGTCCTGATGTGCGGATCAGCAACGGAGGACGCACTTGTCGAGTTCATCAAGGAGCACGCCGCGACCATCTCACTCTTCCGCGTGACGACCACCATCCCCGTCCTCCAGCGCGTCCGGCACCTCCTTGGCCGGAACGGCGACGCGGCGGTGTCCGCCCTCCCTCCACTGTGCTGCCTCTGCCCACTCTCCGCCTCGCTTATCGCTGCCCCGTGCTCGAGAACTCCTCAATAACATGTCACAGGTCGGTGTGCACGAGAACTATCTCGGCGGCGACGCGCAGGTCGCGACGCAGGTTGTGCTGCACGATGTCGGCGCCCTCCTATCTCTTTTGCGCCCCGCTGCCACCCTCGGGAGCAGGTGGTATAACCCTCGGTTTCGGACGATACGTAGGCGCCGCAATCATCTTCCGTGATCCGATCGGCGCGTCGGGGGCGGCGTGTGACTGCGACGCCCTTCTCCGGCTGATCAACGTGCGCACGAGACCTCAGATGCAGAATAAACCGCTTGTGCACACGAGACCTCAGATGCGGAATATACTCCCTGCTTGCGCGAATGCGAGGTCACGCCTCGGGGCTTCAGGCACAGCATCTGTGGTCTCTACTAGCCTCTCTTTGGACTGTGCAGGTGCACAACATTGTCAATGCCACGAACCCTACCACCGCGGCCATGCTGATCAATGTTTTTGCAGACGCAGTCAGCTCGGACGACGGTAAGAAGATCCTGCCCTCCTTCTACACCAGCCTCGAGTCACCCGCCGTCGCAGCCTACAAGGCGAAGCAGAATGCTGTCATCGCGTCGCACGGCGGAAAGGTAAGACACACACCCACACGCAGACTACGTGCGCGCGCACACGCACTGCTCCCTGCGTGTTTTGAATGCCGCGGGGCTCCTACCTATCCCTGGACGTTAAACGCGGGGGACAGGACCCCTTTCCCGCAGTAGCGCGTGAGATGCTAGCCTCACCCCTACCTTAGGTGACAGACAAGCCACCGCCTAACGCCGCTCCGAGTATGGCGAGGCTCAGTTCCGCAAATCCCGAGTTTGCGCCATGGGACTCGCTGCGGTCGGCACTACTGAAGGGCCGCGAGGGCCTAGCAGATGTGATCGCGGAGCAGGACGCAAAACCTGCCGAGGTGCCGCTCTCCCTCCTGCCCTTTCCACATGAGCTCTGAATCCAACGCCTCCAACCCACAACGCCTCCAACCCATCACGCATTGCCCCTGTGGCCTGGCCGCTGGCCTGGCCGCGCCACCAGCCGCCACGCCACGCTCTCTCAGGAGGCACCTCTTCGACACCGCTCTTTGAAGCGCGGGGACACGATGAACCGGGGATCCATGAAAAACCTCATGGCGGGATCCGTGAAAACCCTTATGGCGGGGTTATCCTCGAAACGCCTCGACAACACCCCGCTGCTGAAGAGGCCGCTGGTGCAGGCACAGCAGATGCGCTGCCTCGCGCTGATCAGCCACAACAACATGAAGGGCGCGAGGAGGGGGCATTCCTCCCCTCTCCCTCTTTCTACCCTGACAATCTTCCGGAGCCTGCAGGCGCGATGAAGGAGTTCGTCATCAGACACCAGGCGACGCTCCGCCGCTTCCGGCTGACAGGCGCCGCCTAGCCTGTGGCAGCGTGTATGCTCGAACGCTGATTGCGAGAGCGCGACATGGTCGTTGTGTAGGCACCAACTCGACAATGACGATGCTCAAGTCGGTGAGTCGTCCACGCTTCCATCCCTCCTCCCCTCTCCCTCCCTCCCTCTTCCCCTCTCCCCTCTGGCCGCCCTTTAGGCGCCCCGAATTTCCCGCAAGAGGCACACCTCGCGAAAGTCCCGAGCTTTCGCTCACGCTGTCATACAGGTTCTCGGGGAGAACTGTGCCTGGGGCCCCACCTGCTCGAGTGGCCCCCTTGGAGGCGACATTTGTGAGTGTGAACCCGGGCCCGCATGTCATGTCTATTGGATGTCCACTCGTTTTCATACGTAGGCGACGCTGAGGTGGGCGCGCTGATGTGTGTCGACGACTTGGGCGGCATGATTTTCTTTACGGATCCGCTC